AGTTACCAAGTTACATCTTATTTATAAGCTCCCAAATCCCAAGAAGGGGAAACCATTTGTCTGAACCACAAGGGATCCCCATAGGTGAAAAACATGGCCTGGGACTTGGAACATCTGAGCTGTGACGTGGGGGGAAGACGTGGCTCCTTGTGAGCAAGTCCTCACCTCCCCACTGATGGTTCAATCTACAGGGGCCTCCTTCACTTAATCCTCATGTCTGCCTTGAGAGCAAATCTCACCCCCATTTCACAGGTAAGGGGACCGAGAGAGGGCAAGGCACTTGCTTCTAAGTCCCCATGGCCCATGAGAGGCAGAAGCCAAATTTAGGTCCAAATCCCACAGCATCAGGACTAGGAAGCCCTTAAAGACCCAAACTAGGCTCTCTGAGATGAGGCAGGACCGTGGAGGAAGATGCAGAAGATGGAGGTAACCCCCGACCTGCACATAGTCCATGGGCAGCCCTAGGAAGGGAGCCAGGCACCAGCCTTCCTGCCCAGACCTGCCCCCAGCCAGCCTGGCAGAGCCCCCAGCTCCTCACCCACTGAGATCTAAGCAGATCTCCATGCCCACCACACAAATGGCATGAGCAGGACTGTCCAGGGAGAGATGGACGAGGCTCCGGAAGGACATGGCACAGCCTTCCAAGCTGACCACCCCCAGACCCGCACAGCAGCCCTCAGTCAACACAGCGGCCTCAGGTGATCCTGGGACGCCCCATCTCCCTCCCCTCTTATGGGCTCAGGGCATCTCCAGCCCGCCCCCTTGTTAAGGAGGCTTGAGTAGCTGCCCAAATGTAACTGATTTTCTCCAGGAGGCTTGCTGGGAGGAGCAGAGATGCAGAGGAGGATGCTGGGGAGAAGCAGCTGGGGTTAGAGTCCGTGCATCCCTATTATTAAAGAGCTGGTGCCTGCAGACCTGAGGAGGCTGAGGCTGGCTGCCTGGGTCTCTGGTCTCCAGCTGGGAGCAGACAGGGGATCTGGGAAGCTGGTGATTGGGACTGGTCAACCCGGCCCTGGAGGACTGACTCAGCTGGAAGTTGTCAGAAGCAATTATCTGCAGGGGGTACATGGGGCCGTGGTCAGGATAGGGGCACGTGGCGACATCTCTAGCTCTGGGACCTCAATTCTAAGGTGTATGTTTCTTGGAAATTGACAAGGTAAGATACAAAGTGCTGGACTAGTGGTTCTCAGTGCTCTGGTGGTTGCAAATATGATCCAGGGTGGGGGTCTTGTTAAAAGTTGCAAATTCCCGATCCTGATTCGTCTGGGATGTGGTCCAGGAGCCTGCATCCCCTCTTCCATGTGATTAAGGGATCCTTGTCCACAGCTGTGTCACCAGCTTCCAGCAGGGGTCTGGCAGGTATTGGTGGAATGAATGAATGGAATGAGCTGAGGTCACCAGCTGCTTGCTCCCCATCTCTGCCAAGCCCACTGAGTGAAGAAATCAGAACATCTGCTCCAGCCCAAGGGCCTTACCAGCTCACCTGAAAACTGTTCATTTTATGTTTTAAGTGTGAGTCATGGTTATTTTCAAATAGGTATCACATTCACACAGGTCCAAGTTCAAAAGGGGTTTGCAACACAATCTCCCTCCCTCTGTCTCTCACCCACTCATTCCCTTACATGGAGCCAGCCAGGGGCATCAGGTTCTTCTGTCTCTTCACGCAAATGTTACACGTGATCAAGCAAACACAAACGTATATCCTCCCCTCATTCTTCTTACTTTTACATAAATAGGAGTCTATGTGACATAGTATTCCACACCTCACCGTGTTCACTTTGTACTACAAATCAGAGAGAAGTTCTTCCTTTCCTATTGTAAAAAAAGCATCCTGGTCATTTTTCATGGCTGTAGAGTATTCCAAGGAGGGCTGCCCCATCACATATAAGCGTTTGTTTTCATTTCAGTCTGTTGCCCTGACACACGATGCTGTGATGAGTAACTTGTGTGTGACAACCTGGGGGACACAGCTGGGTACTGAGCAAAGACTGCTTGGGGAGCCAGGCTTGTTCAATTCAGTATTAAAAATAAAAACACCCTTTTTTGGAAGTTTTAAGTATGCAGCATAACTGTCAGGAGTAGCTTATTTGGGGGGCTCTTGGAGGCAGAGGGGTGGCCAGGAGGACCCTAAAAGCCCCTCTGGCAGGAGGAGCTCAGTATGTGTATGGTCTCACCTCAAATGGTTCAGCCACACCCATCTGCCCATCTACCTACACACAACACGACCAGAGGCGGGCTGGAGGGAGGGGATGGTCTGACGGGGGAGAGCTCGCAAGGGCTGGGCTC